AACACTTTAATTTACGAGTTAACTTACTGCTGCAGTGATAGCTTGTGATGCTTGTTGTGCCTAGTCATATAAATGTCAAAATGATTTGGAACGTCCAAAGTTAATGGATACGTTTGTAATGAGTTTGAAGTCACGCTTAGAAGACCTACAGTAATATATACTGGGTTAAATGATCTCCTCTTTTTGGTATATTCTTTAAGGCTGGAAAAGAAACAACCAAAAATTTGAAAAATATTTTTTCGTTACTAAGTAAAAACTAAGAATAAATCTGTAAATCGTAGTTTGTATTAAGAATATTGCTTAATAATGCTTTAAAATGAACAATAGGAACTTGTGGTATTTTGAAATTATCAAACTTTATCTAATACTCACTTGTAATCTAATGATATTGCACTGTTTAATGCAGTACTTTTCCCCATTTCAAATATTATGCTTGACAAATATTGGCAAAAATATAGGTACGAACAAAATTTTGATCTTTAGTTTAGCATTAACTGTGATAACAGCAGGAATTGTAGTGGTTGAAAGAGGAACGCGTATTCCAAATTTAGACAAAATTTTTACTTTGTTTCACGATTTATTGTGGGTTAAGCCCTTTATAGTACTCTACCAAAGTGTCGACGCGTAGGGTACGTATTCGCCGGCAATATGCACTCCAGATCGGCTGTTGTATTTGTGTACGGATAGAGTGGCTAAATTTAAGAAAATTTTGGGAAATATAGTATCTGCAACACCCTTCTATTTTAAGATAAGTAACAAACGAATGACTAACCTTATATTTGATTGCTACTAAAAGCTTTTCATAAGTAGCGATGTTTTTGACTATTTCCAATGTACTCTTCTCAAATCGCAGCCTTTACAAATGTCACTTACTTCACAATTTATTCTAAAAACTAGTGTAATAAATTGTTTTTCCACTTTTATCTCATTTTTTTACCAAGTACTAATTACTCTTCCGTTCTCTGTCCCGTAGCCGGCACCAAATCTACCGATTTACATAATTTTTACAAGCTAATCCGAATGCTTAAGGATTTTTCAATGCACTTAACTTTTTGTAATCTTTTAAAACAGGCCAACATTCCTCTCCTGTGCCGATATAAGGCACATCCACCTGATTTTCATATCTTTTTTAAATGCTGTCTAGGGTTAACTTGTCTCTTTTGGCCAAAAAAATTTCAATGAAAATGACTTATTTCTCTTGATACAGGATGATTTAACAAGCATCTACGATCAATCATAGGGTTTTATGTGACTTCGTATAATTAAATTTTATGTTTCCCGAACCATTTTTATAATAATGGCAATATTCCCATAAATGACTTTCTAAATCTAATAATTTCCTACCCAAAGTCAACGCTTTAAAGTTTTTAATAAGTGGTATATTTTTTGCTATTATTTGCTCTACCGTATACGGTAAACTGCGTATCCTATTTGGCAGAAAATTGCAGATTTTTGAATTCTAAGCATTTCCTACTTAAGACGAATTGCTTTTCGAATTAAAGTACAAATGGATAATCAAACGATTTTCCCAAAGTAAAACAAATTGATTGATGGAGGAATACATCAAGTAGTATGTGTTAAAATCACAGCGTAATCTTGGAATGAACGTTCATATGTTGCAGGGAGATTGATGCTTTTATATACGACGCCACAGTTCTGGGGTACTGGACGTCAAGAGATGACGGCTGTAAATTAAAGACGGTTGGAAACCTGTACGCAATGACAGGATATGGTATAGGCTTTCCAAAGGGTAGTCGGTGGCTGCCTAAAATCAACTCTCGAATTCTGCACTACCAAAAGAATGGTGAGTCCTGCGGCCAATCACAGCCCGCTTCAGATACAATTTTTTTTTAAGCAAAGACTACTTCAAATGCAATTTGCGGACATACAAATGCAAGTTCTTCTTGCCAATTTGTGTCAAGTCAGGCCTTAAGAGCAATTGCACCTGCATTTAACTATGATTTTAAAAGAATTTAATTCGAAGGATTTCGACCCAATAGTGAGAGGAAAAGAATAATCCTTTTCCATAAGTTTCATTTTGGCATGATTTTTCGAAAACAAACATCCTTTTATGCGATATAAATAGAGCAGTCGTCTTTGCGATAGTGGTATTTCTAGTTTGCACTTATTACACTCACTTTTGATGAAAAAAATTCAATCCTTCTGGTATATAAGTTTCATAAACCAAAGAAAATTATCTTTTGTTAAATTGTGATCAAAAGACGCATCTAAAAACCCCTTTGTTGCCTTAGACTACCCAAAAAATGATCCACTCCCTTTAAAAAATATGATGAAAGTGAAAAACATGTTTGTGTACGTTGTCATAATTGAATTATTTATTGCCGACTTCTTGTTGGGAATGTAACAAAGACCTAAGTACAATATTCCTAATCCAAAACCAGTCTTGTGTACTCGAGCATCGAGATCGCAGAAGACTGGCAATGAGTGGATTTTAAAAATGTTGGATAAGAAATTGCCTTTTATGAAAGAAGATAGATAAAATAAACTCAGTGATTTCATTTTATGGATTGACGTATGTACTTAGTATCAGAAAGAGATATTGTATAACCACAAAAACATTTTAGGATACATTTTTTATTTTCTCAAAAAGTAGAATGCTTTCCTCGCAAAATTCATTCACTCAGTAATCAAGATGATTTTCACCCTTAAACACGCAGACACGTTACGTGGAGCCCTAGTGCTCTCAACTGCAGCTCCTACCGTTTCAAAGGGGGTTAGTGTGACATGATTCCTTTGATGTCAAGATTGTTTATAAAACCATTTTTTACTCTCGATAGTGGCATCAAGCGAATTTTCTAAAAGTTCAGAAAAAATTCTCTGATATGATACATTGATGCGCATATCAGTTAAACTACCGCAATTTTTGGAGGTAATAGTTGTGCTACTTTACTAGAAAACAAACGTTGAATCTGGAATGTGGGAAATAATGTCAATCATGATACAATTAGATGTTTTTTTTAATATTACAGAAACGTATTTAGTCAAATGGTTAATTCGATATATAGAATCTGGAAATACAAGGGATTATGTTGTAAAATTCCCGTCCGCATTTCTAAATCGGGAGGAATGTTTAACAATCTATATGTGCTGGTAGTAATATGTGTGTGTAATAAAGTCTTACCCATCCTTGGTGTTATATTGGTTTCCAACATAAATTCATAGTTTTATCGCCTTTTCGGCTTTAACCAGAATGCTTGTACCTTTAATCCGCATTTCTTGTTGACCTATACGCTGCTTGCCATTTATCTAATGCCTATTGCCAGTCAAGGGGTAAGTTGAAGCATGAGCAAAGTTGAGAGAATGTGCAAAGCAAACCGAAATTTCACACAGTAGCTGCGATATCATTTTACCATGTCATTAACATCAAGACATACCATAACAATTAGATGTTGGAAGAAATAATGCCAAACATAACGAATTTGTTGAAGTAAAAGTTGTGACCGTTTTCTTATGCTAACGTTACTAGACGCCATCCTAAGTTGCAAATGGATTCATATTTTATGATTACTATCTTTTATACTACGCACCGACTTTTTGTGTATTTGGACCAACGGGTCACTTATTTTGTTACAAGGTGGCACAGAAAGTGAGTCCAAAAGTAAGTTACGGTATTTTTCTGGAAAAACATCACCACTTCGCATATTATGTAACCGTTGAAGCATAAGTGATTGTATTAAACAAACTGAGCACTTTTTAGCCGTGACAATACTAATACGGTCTATACTGAACATAAATATGCAGAATTATGTCTACTCACAAATTATAAGTCAGTCTCTACAATTATGATTTGCACTTACTTATAAAACTTGCTAGTCTAAACTTACTTTTATGAGCATACTTTATTTTCAGTCGCAAAATTATGCAATGTAAGTCATGATCCATGCTAAAACTCATTTGCATAAGCGGTTTTGAAATATGGTTTAATAAAGCGGCTTGCAGTGTACTTTTTAAACAAATAAATCTTTACAGATGTGGAGACATTCATGGTACTTGAAGGTAAAGTAAGGAAAAGCTCCACCAAAGATGTATGATACCAATATAGCTAAAACAGGTGTGTAAATTTGAATCTTAATTTTTAGGGAAGTTCCATCGATGGAAGCAGTTTTGGTTGAGTGGTGCTTGCAAAAAGGTCACGACCTTGGGAAACACAAACAAGACACTGGGCGTGAAAAACTTCATTAGTGCCTTCATTTTGTTGCTCTGTGGGATGCTTCTTTGTGGCGTGATATTTCTTATGGAACACTTCTTCTACAGTTATGTACGGCGTCTCATTCAAAGATCTGGCGATAATGGCTGCTGTGCCGCGACTGTTATGGTAAGTAATGTCCGATTTCCAACTGATGGGAGTATCATATATGCCTTGTCTAACTTGCTTCAGACTTTATTTTAAACACAACATTTGCACAAAAGAGTGTGTTAAAACTGCCTGCACGTGCTCTCCTGCTTCTAAGTTATTTTAAAGATGTGTGGATTAGCAGTGAAGTCTAGATTTTAAGGCTTTCAAATGTGCAAAGTATAAAAATCTTAAAATTTACCGTTCATTTTTGGAACAGAACTTTTACTGGGGGTTTTTTAGTAACAAATATCAAATTGGTTAGTTAAGAAGCATTCTTAAATCAACTATTTTTAAATGGCAAACTTAAAGACATATTTTAATGACAAAGCCCAATTGGAGTATTTATTCCCACGTATTCCCTGCGATCAGAAGTTTATCAGGAGATATCATTTATGTAAAAAAGACCATGCAAAACATCACAAATAGTTTATATTTGTTTTTAGATAGACTTCACCACTTCTATTCTCCACCTGTAAAATTGTGACCAGCCAATCAAACCATTGACACTTTTCCTATGTTCTCAGCAGTTAGGGCCAGAGATCTCCCTCGGAATACGCATTAGAAAATAGCTAATGCTGTCTTCAAGTCATCATCAATCTTGAAATAATTGCTACAAAAGGGCTTTTGGTACATCGATTGAGATGTTTTCCGAAGTCAATAAAAACTAGGGAATGTCAAAGCGGAACACTGAAGATTAAAACCTTTATATTTTAAGAATGTAAATTATTTCATGTCCATAAGCAATTTTACTTTTCTTAGAATCACAATTTAAAATAGACTTTAACTATTTCACAATAGTTAAACTTTGCGATGGCTTAGACATCTCTCTGTTTTAGAATAGGAAACCTATGTTAATATACTTCAATTGACTAGCGTGGGAGTACTTAACAGATGTGCAACACAAACCTTCCTCAGGACTTTGAGAATCTGAGTTTAACAAAATTCAGAAGTAAATTTTGGAAGTTACTGGTCAAATAGGTAAATATACATAGATTCCAAGTAGAAAAGACGATATTTTGAAGTGATCAAGAAACTTCTTTTAGCATACTAAAAAGAAAAGCATGGGTAGCAACTCCAGATAAATAAAAGTTGGTTGGATTGTGAACTTCACTTTTTAGGCGACCTAAACTAAAAATGTCACGTTTTATTCATATGCAGTGAATAAATAACAAATGTAAGCATAAAACAAGTGCATGATCAGTTCTTTAGAAAACAGCACTTTATGAATATCTCTTAATCTAGATAATCTAAATTGTTGAAATCTTAATCATTATGAGAAGCTGACTTAAGATCCTACGAAATGTCAAATAATTAATGAAGTAGGCATTGAATTATCAATAAATTTGTTAGGAAATCTGTGTCCTATTATGATCTCAGTGTGGAAACTGTGATGGACGTGATTGGGACTCTATTTTGAAATAGTATCTTAGGTTATTTTCTTTAGTCATTTTAGATTTAAGATCATTGTATTATTTAAAGTAAGAAAATATTAATTAAGTACATCAAGCGCCTCGTTAATCCAACTTTTGATTAGAGAAAATTCCAATTTTTTACCGGATACAAAGTATATTTTGTCCTAAGGTACATTTGCTGAAACGTATCTTATTTAAATACCTTGTTGTTTTAGAAGCTACCTAAAATCATCAACATGGATAATGAAGAGTTGAGAAAGGAGACACTTAATTTGAAGAACAAAAGACACCAAGAGGAGTGCAAGAATTCAGTCTGTCTGAACGAACGATATCGGAGCAAACAGGAGATTGCCAAAATGTCCCGTCACCTTCGATTTTTGAATGACGTGGTGACTGCCAAAACTGAAAACCTTGACGATCGACAAGGAAGGTAAGGCTTTCTTCAGCATCGAAGGGTAGAGATAGAATTGAAGAAACGTTTAAATCTTAACTTCAAGGTCATTACCGAGCTCTAGGGGCGGTATTTTTACTACTTTTAACATAATTTCGATAAAGACTACGTTTGCCTTTTTGGATAAGGTGTTAAAATGGATAATCAACATATTTTTCCGAGACATTTAGTTGAATTTCTAAGCCATGCAATTGTATGATTGAAGTCAGTCAAGTTTTGTGATAGTCATTGCCTTGTCAAACTGCCTATAATTACTGAAAGTTTTTATAGCGAATTATTCTACTTACGTTCAAAAGTAACGGTGTCATAACTTTAATCATAGAAATGAAGCTGCACTTCCCTCCAGTCCAATATCAGCTCGAAGGTCTCACATGAACACCACAGAGCCCTGTACTGTGATAAGGATACCCCGAAAATCCTGGTCGAACGAAAGCTACTTCAATCGCAAAAGCTATTTTATTCACGCCAGACCCCAATCTTCACAGAACCTGCAAAAATCGCCGGCAATTCTTCGCGTCCCTCAAAAGTCTCATTTGAAATCAGTGACAGATTTAGTCGAGGAAACCAAACAACAGACAAAACCGGATTCATACGGAAAGGCTGAAGAGTGTAAAGAACTTGCTAATTTTGCTCAGAGCACCACGCCGCAAATTGTTTCACCCGTTCCACAGTTAGACAGCAAAACTTCGAAGGAATGTGTTGAAAAAGAGTCTGTCCTATAGTAATCTGCTTTTGCGGGGGACTTTGCCCTACGTGCTTACTATGGAAGACAGGAAACTTGTAATCTTGCTTAATCGAGACCTGAAAATTTCCTTTCTTTTAAGGGGGTCGTAATCGCTTTACATTGCCAACTCAAAAGTTAACATCCATCCCATCACTTTCTCCCACTTTATTACTAATGTACGAGACCTGACACTTTTGACGAATAATGTGACGTCTAATGGACAGAGACAAGGAACTATTAGATTAACGTTGGTAAACAGTTTGAGATCAAGTGTATGATTTGATTTAACGGTTTGTTTTGTTCTTTTCGAACGTGTTGGCAAAGCCTTTCTTTATTATGCAGTCACTTCGAATGTGCAATAGATGGACAGTTGGTAAATTTGAATTATAAATTAAAACTGCCGCAAAAACTGACCAGTTATTGCTACTAAGTGGGTAAATTAACCGTTCCAAAGATATGAAAAGAAATTATAGAAATATAGGTTATTTATATTAAAGAGGAAATTACTTAAAACGACGTACAAGATTCCCAAAATCACAAATAATCTAAACTTACAGCCTTTAGAATACTGAGTTTAATGGGCTACTAGCTTGGATTTTAAGTTGCTTCTTTGTCACCACTCCTTCGTCCATCATACTGTTACCAGTTTAAAGCTCACTGTCGCAAATGTGTTCTGTTTATGTTTATGTATTATTCTTCCGTAATAGCCAAAGCCGAATGTACTAAGGAATAAGTTCGAGGGAATTAAAGACATCTGTCGTTATAACAAAGCCCTATGGGAAGCGGAAAGTCCGATATAAATCTCGTTAATATCATCTGTAGCAATCAAATGACTTACTGACAAACAGTTTGGAGTCACGTTTCGCCATCAAGGAAATGAATCAGCTTAACTCAAAATATTCAATACAGGATGCAATTTGCTGCCAAATAGACGCACTGTGGTAGCATTCCCCCTCTACTTTGCGAGAATACGTCAAAACAAAAAAGCTACATCTTGAATTATATATGTATATTAAATTAAACTTATATTAGGAAAGCCAATTAAGATACGTAAAAATTCTTTGGAAATATCGTATAGTGAGTCAAAATCAGATGCACACAATTTCAAACTACTAATTTGTCAGGAAAGGGAATAGAGCTATTCACGCAGACAATTCACACAATCCTAGAGTAATTGTAAAAATACAATATATCTTTTTAAACTAAAAATAGAAAAAGAAACGAATAGGAGAGGAACAAGGAAGGGGGTAGTCAGCTCATGTGCGTGTGTGCATTGAGAGGACTGTCACGTAAGAATATTTACATCATCCTAATTCGTGAATTTTCTATGCTGACCTATAAGAAGTAACTGCGAACCGAAGATTTTATGCTTGTGTGGGTGCCTGCAAGCGCATGTGAATATTGACTAGACAAGAGAAAAGGTTTCGCTATACAGGTCGTTCTGAAAGGTGAAGCCCGCAGCACGCATTATATCCAGTTGACGTCGGTGTTCAGCCGCTAGACGCTGGAGCTCCTCACGGATGCTCGAGACAAGGTGGTTGAAGAGAGCCACACCATCGGAGTGGGTGACCATAAGTTCGAAACGAAACGCCTGACAAATAAGGTCACGAAGCCACGTTACCTCCTCGCGGCTTGTCAATCCCTCACGAACTGAAATAACAATAAGTCACTCATTTAAATTCCACTTCTCAAACGTTTTTAAATAAAAAACCGAAATGGCAAATAAGGGTCCCTTTGCTACAAGACTATGGTTACATTTTAGTAATCTTTTTGTTTGCCATTATATATTCCATCAAGGATCATGGAGTCTTCAGAATGTGCTCTAAAGCCATTTTTCAGACTGTTTGTAGGGCTCGCCAAGAATTTTTATTTTTGCAGCATGGGCTTCTTAAATCAATTATCACAAGATTGAACCATTGAAGGGAGAACTAAGTGAAAAACAAACTTCGCCATCCAAAGCTCATGGCCTTTATTACAAAATTTCTTTCAAAATCGAAACTTGCACCGCTGTTGTAGATATTCATTTACATTCTAGTAGCTTTCTTAACCCATCTTGGATGAGGCATTAAAGTGAACGGGAACATTTCTCCTTATTAATCCCACTTAATACTTCCCAGTCCAGAAGAGGACATACATTCAATAAATTTCTACTAAAAAACGTACAGTACCCATGATTTTCTTACTTGGCGTAACCAGGAGAACAGCTAGTAGAAGACCTAGCTTAAGCGGTTCCAACCGGTGTGACTGCACTTGAAAGGCGAAATCAAAGAGTAGGTTGACGAACTTTTTGCTCATTGGAAAGGCAAGCCACATCTGACTCTGGGAGAGGGTGAAGTTACCTGGACCACAAAACGTCTGACTCTCTTCATCCACATAGAAACTGAATATTACGCAGGCGAGCTAAAAAATACTACAGCAATTAGTCGCGGGTTTTTCTACGTATTTTTAATACGCAACGACGGAGATTTAACATACATCCAGAGGTCTTAATGAATACACTAGAAGTTCCTCCTAACTTTTTAGACCTATTTTAAATTTGCACGGAATTTAATTACTTTATTAGTACCACATTAATTTTGCATTCACGTTTTAAAGTAGCTATTTGGGACACGGTCAAAAATTACTGTGATCTTAGGCTGACAAGCGTGGAATGGACTTACGCTGCAAAAAAATACAACGGTTTTATTTACAAGACATTTCTACTGACGCTTTTAGGTGTAGAGATGCAGTTTTGCAACGAAGATTCAGAATTCTTGTGGCTTTACTGTGTTGTGCTATGCACCTATGAAATCAACAGCTGCACACACACCCCTGTTCCCAAACATTTGCTGCATTTGTCTGCATAGAATGCCTAAATTACGAACTGCTGGCTGTCACCGATTGTGGTTAAATGGGCGAAAATTTTCCTTACCTGCTTGTTACATCGAAACATCCAAAAAAGGTACTGAAGTGTATTAAAGCAAACTTAATGGCTACTGGATGGACTAATGTATATTTTTAAATAAGAGTGAAATTTGGGTTATATATGTTGTACAAGGCGATAAATACTAAGCTAGTCCACCCTAAAACTATGGTGATAGTCGTGAACTTCCGTTGGCAGCATATTAGTAACTTCATTTGGGAAAACCAAACGATACAACTGTTACAGCAGTAAATAATCTTTTTATCAAGTGAATGTATCCAGGTTCAGTTTGTTGTGTGCAATTTTATTTGCTTACTTGGTCGGCTTTTTCAAAAAATAGATAGACTTCTTGAGAGTAAACTACATTTTAGCAATTTTTTAGGTAACTAGACATTAATTAATTGGATTTCTCGGTCACCCAGAGAAAGCATTGATAGCTCCGGTATAACAAACTGATATTAAGTCCATTTTGTTCACCATTAATTTCTTCTGTGAGCTGTATTAGGCATTCGACTTGCTAAAACTAATGGTAAATATCCTTCGTTATTGCATTGCATTCCTAAGTTTTCTCCCACTAACCGATAAAAGCATATTATCGTTAAAATATCCACTAGCAATTGCTTGGCTATGTTTATTGGTTGTTCCTTTGTTTTCGATCAGAAAAAGGCAAGATTTTCTTATGTCTGCACTTACGTCTCACAGATGTAATATTTGCATCTGTTTCGTTGTTTAATGTTAACATCTGTCCAGATTTGGAATTACTGCACTCAGTTTCTCAAAATTCTACCTATTATGCTGGAAGTCGCTTTTACTAATGGGAATGCGTTCATTATCCCTCCTTGCCAATTCATTCAGCTACGAACTGAAAATACGCCTTATTAGATAGGACACTTTTGCTTACTTCGAAACAACCTGACTGTACGAGAACCATACGATCTTCTGGTAGGAGATCGGAGAATCCGGGAATGCGCTTAGCGAATTTCACAGAGTCCTGCATTATTCGATCGAAACAAGTCTGGAAGGCTCGGAAGGATTTAAGTCGTACTTCGAAGGCCTGAGCTGTGTGAGACCTTCCATCCTAAATTAGTGCAAAGGCAAAATTTTTAGCGGGCATTCATTAAATAGTAAAATTTTAATAGTTCTAAAGCAAGTGTACTTCAACACTAATGTCGAAGAGGAGTGGTGTGATTTTTACCCTCCATTTTCAAAAATTTTGAAAAAAGGTAGGTGCATATTACTACATGAGGGTGCTCAATTTAATCGATAAGCCTGTGGAATACTAATAACCAGCAGATTCATGAACTTGATTACAACATCGGAGGCAGTTTGTAAAGTAAGATAATGTTTTTAACATTTAAATTACTTTTAGAGATCTAATTTCTGAAATGTTGATTGAAATAAATAACACGGAGTAGAAGTATCATCATGTAAACTTTTAGCTGAGGTAAAGTGTGTGCGCGACTTCAGATCCCAGGACTGAGAACAAACCCTAGTACTTTATGAATGCTTAGCATAATCCTTCCATCAAGTTCTTCTCTAGCATCTTGTTACGGTATAGATCTGATTTGCTTGTTAGAAGTTTTCAGTATTTGACTAAAGTATCACCCGATGCCAATTACTGGACTTACCTCCCATTTGACAACGCCGAAGAGATGCTGCAGAGTGGCCTCATTGGCAGCGTGGATTTGTTCACGAGGTTTTTCGAAGGCTGGATGGGCAATATGTTCGCGAAAGGTTACGCAAAAGGAGCTTTCTATTGTTCGTAACAGTTTTGTCAAAAAAGAACCTCCATCCGGACTCAGGTGCGGGGAAGACAGAGTGTATCGTTTTGGAAACTATGTAAGGAAGTAAGGGAACAAGTGGGTAGATAATGGATGTATGCGGGGACCTATGGTACACAAGCCTAAGTCTACTTCAGTAGGTCTTCGCATTTAGGGCTTGTATGTTCTGCTTTGTTTTTAAGAATTGTCTTTATTAAGTGAGAGTTGATGACTTAAAATCTCCAAAAATCTAAAGTCTGCTCATTTTAAGTCATCATTTAGTCACAAATTCTAATTATTCTAGTGAGTTGATCTGATCCATTCACATGATGCGAGTTAAAAATGAATTGTAATACGATAGTGGTTTATCCCTCGGCATTGGTGAGGCGCCACTCTTGTACTTTGAAAGAGCTCCTTGTACCTCGCTGGGTGGGCTGGCCTTTTGGGCCATGCCAATAGACC